AATTTGTCCAGTAAAGTTTTATTGCATGACATATTAGTCTTTCTCTTAAATTTCAAAGTTTATTTGTTGTTAGTAGTTTTGTTGTGGTGGTGATTCACAATTCTTTTCAATTTTTTGTCCCGGAGTCCTAAAGAAAATTAGCGCATTTACATGTGTAGACCTCGTCAAAGAACACTCACAAGGGCACACATTTTTTCCATTTTTTAAATAAAATTTTCCAAAGGCAATGGTGAATAATGAACTCCATCTCCACAAACTAGCAATGTTATAGCAGGACCAGCAATTTACTGCTCATCTACCTCAATGATTTGAATAGAGAAAGGAACATCTCTCCAACTTCATATAATTTTTACTGTAATAGATAATGGCTTATCACCAACCCAATGATCCAGCCAAAGATTGGGAATGAAGAATTCCCCACATTTCCAGCTCAATTTGATTTTAATTTTTCTTTTTCTTGACCATGGAAGTTTGTTGAGTTCATAATTCTTTATTGCAATTATATTACCAAAATTTCCTCAAATCCATTAAAATTCAATGGATTTAGAACTTCAAATTTTTAACCAGCAATGTTCTGCCCAGTACTTCGTGAGTAGTGAACTTGTGACTTTGATATATACTTACATACTAAGGTGGTGTTTGGCAAGTGATTTTGTGGCTAAAATAGTCAGAAAAGACAAAATAGGCTATTTTAGCCACAACAAACAAAACATCACATCCAACCCATAATCATTATACTTTTCTCTCACAAAAAAAGTCAAAAAAGTCAAAAAGCCAAAAAGTCCTTCCCAAACCAAGCTTTTTAGCCCAGACTAAAATAGCCAAAAAAGTCAAAAAGCCAAAAAGTTAACCTACTTCCCAAACAGAGGCTAAGAAGCATGGACACTTCTAAGAAGATGACGTATCCGTGTCGTGTCCGTGTCGGGCACCGACACTCTTTGGACACACGTGTCCGACACTCTTCAAAATGTGTCCTATTTTTTAAATTTTTTTAAAGACCCGAACACTCTTTGGACACTTAGAAGACACACATGTTAATCGCATAAACACACATGTCTATCGATTGGACACATGTGAAACTAAGTATAAGTTTAAACAAAATAACTTAAGATACAATAATAAAACAAAAAGCATATAAATTTATAGGAATTAGTATCATATTATATTTTTTATTATCTTTGAATGATATATTCATATATATAACATATAATAAATATATAAAATTGCATATTTCATGCGTGTCTCCCACGTGTCGTGTCTTTCATTTTTTGAAAATTAACGTGTCGGCATGTCCGTATCGTATCCGTGTCGTGTCACGTGTCCATGTCCATGCTTCTTTGCTTACATATATAGATACTGTTATTATGAAGTGGATCACAATTCTTATAACAAGGTAGTCATTAGATATGCAATGAAAATCATCCATTAAATACATGGGACGGGGAGGATCAAAGTCCGGTTTTTATTAGATAAAAGTAGTGGAAGAATGAGCCAAAACTTTGGAACTCTGCTAGTTTATTCACAAAGTAGCATTTGATAGGTAACTAATATTGGTTTACACAAAACAAAGTTCACATAGGAAAAAGTATATTTTACTCAAGTTTGCCACATCTCATTGCAATTGAAACAATAATTTGAGAGAGTGATAGAGGATTGAGAGAGAGAGAAATAGCCACTGAATTATTCAGTTATTGTGTGTATTATTAGGAGATTTACACTCTCTTTTATAGAGAGGAAAAGCTACATAGGGTGCCACCAATTTGCACCGAAAGAAGAAAGTAAATGGGAACATTCATTATGACTAACACTAACTATCATATTCTAATAGCACTGATATACACTAACCTTTATACAATAATAAACTAACACTATACAATAATAAACTAACACTAACATGATACAATAATAAACTAACATCGGCAATCAATTTCAGAGAGGCCAATCTAATAGTGGCCACGAAAGAGGAAGGGGAGGAAAAAGGCATACTCAATGGCCTGCAAGAGGTATATCACAATCTGAATCTCGCTGTAAATTTTGCAAGAATACTAATCATGGAAGCATGGACTGCCATTTCCAAAAATGCACAAGATGCAAGAATCCTAACCATCTTGAAAAAGATTGTTGGTTTCGTATAAAGGACGGAGCTAACTTTTCAGAAAAGCGTGAATTTTCAAACCAACAGTTCTATCCTTACATCAACACTCAACAAGAAGCACAAGACACGTGGTATATTGACAGCAGATGCAGCAACCATATGATGGGAAACAAGAGCAGCTTTGTTAGATTGGATGAAGGAGAAAAATCCAAAGTAGAGCTTGGAGATGGGAAGATTCAGAACATTGAAGGAAAGGGCACCATTGCTGTGCAAACAAAGGGAGGTAATACCAAGCTAATATATGACTTTTTTTTTGTTCAGAGTCTAACTTAAAATCTATTACTTGAGGCCAATTGATACAAAAAAGGATATTTGGTGAAATTTGATGAAGATGAATGCACTATACTTGATAGGAAGAATAATATGAAATTGTTCGAATAAATATGGCCACTAATAAAGTGGTTACTCTCACAACGCTAGTAAAGGCAAGCTATGCCTTAAAGGCTGAAGACATGGATCAATCTATGATATAGCATTTGAGGTATGGTCTTTTGTCACACTTATCTACAAACCAACCCAACACCCCTATATGTATATGCAAAAATTACTTGCACGCTTTCTCACAAACAATCTCTCCCTAACCTTATATACCATTAATCAAATAATACTCACCCTTCATTTTTATCGCATATTTTTCCTTAATTTGACTCTTTTGTATATTAATTTGTAGAGTATAATTTTGAATAACATTATGCATTGATTAGTTTGTTGGTTTTGTGTTGGGATTTGGAACAAATAATAAATTTTTTGGTTGAAATTCAAAAATAATTTTTTTGGTTGAACTTCAAAAAAAAAAAAAAAAAAAAAAAAAAAAAAAACGTCTCTACCCAAGCCATAAAGCTAGTGGAGCATTGTTCATCATTATGATATATGCGGGTGTGCAAGTTATAAGTGTATGGGGTGTCTGAATTTGTGGTATGGCTATGACTGGAGAAATGGAACATGTTCTCTTTCTTAACTCGGGTGTTTGTCAAAAGAAGGAAAAAAAGAAAAAAGAAAAAAAAAAGGAAGTGATGGAGGAAATTGTTTCTGATATTACAAACTGTCCATGTTCAAAATCCCTCCTAAAATTCCAATAAAGGGGTCTGTTTATACATGATATATACAAGGTGGGAGCTGCTGCGAAGGATCGTTCCCTGCTGCAAACGAAAAGTGTTCTTTTTGAACGATCTCTTTTTCAATATGGGAGTTTTACATGCTTTAAATGCTTTCAAGCCAAATTGAAGAAGCTGCTGAATGGAGTGATTGGTTTTACGTGTCTTATACATTCGAGCTTGAGTTAATTCGTGTTTGCTCCACTAGTTTCGATGGCCTTTTGAGCAACACTCCCAAATATTTCCTGCCTTCATTGTAAACCCTGTTACAACCCTTGAAAAGTCCTTTTGATTCGTGTTATGCATGTGATCCCAGTGGTGGAGAATGAGAAGATATGCAAGCCTATGGTAGATCATTCCCTTTGGAATGAATTTGAGCGAAACACATAACCTTCAAACACATGAGAGTCGAGTATTTATTTCCGTGAGGGTCTACGTATTTAGTTTACTCTATCTTCGAGTGAAAATGCTTACTAAGTAATTGTAAGTTGTTTAAGAATGTTTGTTCATGATATGTTATGAGTTTTGAAGAGCTTGGTGGTTCTTTGTTGATGGCATTTCAACCTGGGTGTGTGTTCTTGGGATGGTTGTGGTAGTTGCAACTGCAGTGTAGATACTGGATTTAGTGAGACTCTATTGAACAGTAAAGTTGAAATTTAATGCTTTTATTTATCATTTGCTTCGTTTGACTCTTGTTTTTCATGTTTAATTCATTCTCTCATTTTTTACATCGGTCTGACACGACCATACCGTGTCTCCTATCCTGTTTTATTTATCAGTTTATTTTTCTGTTTTGTGACTCTCTCCAAACTCAAGTTGGCTAGTGCCTATCCTCCTTGAGTTTGAGGGGGGCTGTTAATGTAAATTGTAAATGTAAATTGTACTCCACCTACCACCTCCACTTCACCTAACACACTCAACTCTACCTACCACCTCCACTTCACCCCTACCAGCACCACCACAATCTGCTACCTTCTCTTCTATATATAGGAGTTGTAATCAATATACAGATAGACATCAATCTTGTAATATACACAAATCAATAATATACATCAATGATTTGAATAGAGAAAGGAACATCTCTCCAACTTCATTTAATTTTTACTGTAATAGATAATGGCTTATCACCAACCCAATGATCCAGCCAAAGATTGGGAATGAAGAATTCCCCACATTTCCAGCTCAATTTGATTTTAATTTTTCTTTTTCCTGACCATGGAAGTTTGTTGAGTTCATAATTCTTTATTGCAATTATATTACCAAAATTTCCTCAAATCCATTAAAATTCAATGGATTTAGAACTTCAAATTTTTAACCAGCAATGTTTTGCCCAGTACTTCGTGAGTTATGAACTTGTGACTTTGATATATACTTACATATATAGATTCTGTTATTATGAAGAGGATCACAATTCTTATAACAAGGTAGTCATTAGATATGCAATGAAAATCATCCATTAAATACATGGGACGGGGAGGATCAAAGTCCGGTTTTTATTAGATAAAAGTAGTGGAAGAATGATCCATAACTTTGGAACTCTGCTAGTTTATTCACAAAGTAACATTTGATAGGTAACTAATATTGGTTTATACAAAACAAAGTTCACATAGGAAAAAGTATATTTTACTCAAGTTTGCCACATCTCATTGCAATTAAAGCCCTTTTGAATGAGCATTTTTTGGGTTGAGCTGCTTCATCAGACAGAAGTGTATTATGGGCTTCTGTTATTTGATTTGCTTTTTCCTTCAAAACACCGTAACTTAAGCTTGGAGCTATCAGGACTCCAGTGTTGCGCCGTTGGGGTCCCGAGCCTTGGGCATGCAAGTGTCAACGTACTCTTTGCATTGAACAGCTTGGAACATCAAGGGATTGCATGCACTAACAAGTGCTTTTGCAGGTTCTATGATGCATTCTTCAGATGGATTAATTAAAGTGACTATGGACGTCCTAGAAACACTTGAATTTGTCACTGCTCGATGTTTAATACTTGTCAGCTTCCCATTGCTGATTATCTGCATCCAAGCAAAACAGAATTTGAATTTAGCTGAAAATATTTAGTCAGGCAGAGTGATTGCACTTTCTTGGATAGAATTGTAAGGGACAATAATATGAAGGCTACCTAGATTAAGCACAAAGTGGAGATCTACCTCTAGTTGGCTGCCTATGTTGATAACAAATGCATTAGGGACATGTTTAACACCAAACCACTGCCCATCCTTGAGGATCTGAAGCCCATACTCGTCCTGTTGAAGTAAGGTTAAGAGGTTGGTGTCGTAGTGTCCACGTACTCCCAAGACCAAACTTGGGTTTGGACATGGCGGATAATGATTAACTATCATTCCCTGGAATTTGCTTAGGTCACCTGCAAAATACCCCACGTCAACTCCCAATCCTTCACAAATAAGATCCAAAATCCTCATGCCTAACTTCCTCACTTCCACTGAATATGTCCCAACAACCTCTCTGAAAATAAAATTAACAAAAATTTATCAGTCAGTTATACAACTCAACTCAATGAGCCCAAATCCCAATTAGTAATCCCCAAGAGAGGAAAAAAAAAAGAAGACAATTCAAAATTTTCTTTTGCTGCCACATAGAAGTATTATGCAACAACAAGACCAGACAGATTTAACCGGCCTAGTGGGGTTGCAGGGTTTACCGGTATCTGGCTGGCTTTTCTGGCCAAGTTTCAATGTGATCCTCTAAAGGGTGACAATCTTGTCTTACTGAATCCTTCCAGTAGTTGTGATTAATAACAGAGTGACAAAAACTGCCTGTGTAGAGTCTGAAGCTCTTACTCATGTCCTCGGAATAGTAAGTGGCCTTGTCTTCTTCAGGCATGTCAAAGAACTCCTTGAACAGACTCATTGTGTCGTCCATTAGTTCTTTTAATAGTCCATGGTTGATCACCTGTTTTATGAATTATTGTACTAGTCAATGGCATCATTTGGTTGGTGTTAAAAAAGTAAATACATTTTCAAGAGCTAAATACTTGTAAATTGTATCAAAATGTTGTCTTAAGATCTTTCCAATAAAATATGTATGTGTTTGTGTATTTAGGTAAGCATGGATTTACAACGAACCTGAAACATTCCAAAATCCTGGCTACCTATCATAATTTGCTTAATTGAATCAGCTCTGTCATGACCGTCTACTTGTTGTAGATCAACCACTGGAATGCCTTTGCACAAAGGCACTGCAAGGTCTCCAGGTCTTTCTTCAGATGAGCAAACAAAGTTTTCTGGCACGGTGTGAACATTCTTGGACCAGCTTGAAACAAGAGCTGACATTCTCTTCAAGTGAAATTATCTTCACACATGTGAATACATGAGAAGAGGCTGATAAACTTGGGTTTTTATAATGGATTTCCAGCTTTGTATATTGCAATAATGGTATGAAATTATAATTCAAACAAAGAATACATTAGTGTTATGTTTGGATGGATTTTGGATTTATCAAGGAGGGGGAAGTGAAATACATTAATTGCATGCAAAGCATTTTGACAAAGATGGATTCTTAAAAAACTGTATCTCAATCAACTCTTCAACTCTAGCATTATTTAATTGTCTGACAGGAAATGCCTTTCCAAATGTTTAGTCTATGATCATGTTTTGCAACTTGAATTGAACACAACTTAGAGATATAAAACCAGTAATACAAGTGGCCTAATAGCTCGCCTAACCAGTTTCTTATTTGGATTTAACATAACTATTTTACTCTGACTACCCAAAAAAAAATATATGGAATATCTAAAATCATTTGGATTGTGAAATTTTTTTTCTTATTTTCATGGAATTCAAGTTTGCCATGTGTTTGGTGTAAGGCTTTTTTTTTTTTTTTTTTTTTTTTTTTTTGTGTGTTAAACTTGCATTTAAATGATTTTTACTATCTCACTGATAAAGCAATTGTCTCAAGAATAATGGAGATGATCGTCGTCATCATGATGTTTACAAGGTTTTTGTTAAAGAAATATAAATTTAAGGATGTTCTTAGTGGTACCAAAAAAATATCAAATAAAATGATGATGATCATGATGACAATAAAAATGAACAAGCTTCTATGTCCCTGGCAACAATTATAAGAAAATCCTCAATTTAACACACACACACACCGCCGCCCCCCCTAAAAAAAAAGAAACTAAATGTGGAATAAGCTTTTAAATGTTTATTTTTTAAATTTCGTTTTTGAGTTCTTTTGGTTTTGGGGTGGAAGGAGGGGAGGAGGGGGTTATGAAGCCCTACTAACAAGATGCAGTTTCAGAAAACAACAAAATCATAGGCACATAACATCTCTTTTTTTCAATTATTTCTCATATACTCATTTTCATATATGACAATATTTGCATCATAAATTATTTTTTATCGATTGTGGTCAAACCACAAACATTTGTATTATTAATATTATTTGCATGTGCCTGGCGCCTATGTGCCTACCATAATATTGTCCGCTTTGGCGAGGTGGGCGTGGAGCCCAGTCGGCCTCACGGCTTTGTTCTTCCTCGAGGGAAAACGCATTGTAACAAGTTGATGGGCCAGTACGCTTATATAGTGAAGTCGATCTATCTCCCCGAACGACGTGGGATTGCCCCAACATTATTAGTTGTTTTGTTAGAAAAATGCTTGGGAGCACTAATTAGTGCTCCCACTAATTAGGTGGCAGTGGGTCCCGCCATTAATGATGTGATGTTTTGGTCTTGGAGTTTTTTTTTTTTTTTTTTTTACTTTTTTAATGCATTAGTGCTATTAGTGGTGATGTTTTTAGTGGGATGAATCATTGTTGGTTTTGTTATTGTTTATAGATGATGAAAATGGACTTAGAAAAGAGTAATGCTATAGACCACTAATTTGCTATCACTAATCTCACCACTAATGAGGTGTCAATTGAAAAAAAAAAAAAAGAAAGACACAAATACTCTGTGGCAGTGGGTGGGATCTACTGCCACATCATTAAAGTCATCACTAATTAGTGGTCTAAAGCATTTCTCCTTAGAAAATGGTGGCAAGTTGGTCACATGTGGCAGTTTGTAGCACTTTATAAGGTACTTGGGTTGGTTTTGTTTCCTGAAGTGGCCAAACTGCCTCCAACAGTTATACTTCAAATGGGAAACTGTTAATTATTACTCTACAAATAGATTGAGACAGATTGAGAAGGCATCAAGAAATCATCAAACTTAGCAGTCTTTTTTTTATTTTTAGTAATCTACTTTAATTTTTAGGAGTAGATTATCTTAGTTTTTAGGAGTAGCTTTAAACAGTTTGTAACATTGTAAACATAATGTTTCAATAGAAGTTTTTTTGTATTTACTTCACTCTTTCGATTGTTAGTTGTTCCAAAAAAGTCCTTGTATTTTCAAGGCATTAGAACCTTTACATGGTCGTTTGATTTTCTATTTGATTGTTTAGTTAAAATTATTTTATAGATGATGAAAATGGGCTTAGAAAAGAGTAATGCTATGGACCACTAATTTGCTATCACTAATCTCACCACTAATGAGGTGTCAATTGAAAAAAAAAAAAAAAGACACAAATACACTGTGACCCACTGCCACATCATTAAAGTCATCACTAATTAGTGGTCTAAAGCATTTCTCCTTAGAAAATGGTGGCAAGTTGGTAACATGTGGCAGTTTGTAGCACTTTATAAGGTACTTGGGTTGGTTTTGTTTCCTGAAGTGGCCAAACTGCCTCCAGCAGTTATACTTCAAATGGGAAACTGTTAATTATTACTCTACAAATAGATTGAGACAGATTGAGAAGGCATCAAGAAATCATCAAACTTAGCAGTTTTTTTTTTTATTTTTAGTAATCTACTTTAATTTTTAGGAGTAGATTATCTTAGTTTTTAGGAGTAGCTTTAAACAGTTTGTAACATTGTAAACATAAAATGTTTCAATAGAAGTTTTTCTATATTTACTTCACTCTTTCGATTGTTAGTTGTTCCAAAAAAGTCCTTGTATTTTCAAGGCATTAGAACCTTTGCATGGTCGTTTGATTTTCTATTTGGTTGTTTGGTTAAAATTATTATTAAGTCTCTGTCTATCAAAACTTAGCATAATTTTTACTAACAGACAATAATATTTAAAAAAAGAAAAAATAGTCTGGACTCTATAGAAAATCAATTCAACAGACCTTGTTAAAATTCCAAGTACTAAAACATTTCTTCTCAAAATTTCTAAATAGAAATTGGGTACACTTCCTAACTATTTTATTAATTATGTATATATGTGTGAGATCCATAGATATAAAAGTTCCACACATATATATAAATAATTGATAGAATAATTAATAATTTAATTTACATGTCCATTTATTAATTTATTTTGGTATTTCATGAAACTATATACAAAAGCAATTTGCCTGTTACGAGTCAATTTTTAACCTTGGTTGCCTGGGATGGGCCCACATATTAGTGGGGTGACTATTTGTGGGGCAATGGGCACCACTGTGCCCACTAACATGACGTCGTTTCGCGATTATTTTGAAATTTCCCTCTCAAGTCTACGTCCTTAAGCTAACTAATAGGTTGTTTTTGGCATTATTTAAACAAGTATCTCAACTTTCATTTGCAGGGAATCATCAATGCCAAATCTTCCAAGATTTTAATTCTTTAAATAATGCAATTAGATAATTGGATACATTGAGATTTCCATAACAAATAATAAAAATGTCATCTGATTCCTATTTCGTGACATAGAAATCTCAGTTTAATAATATTAAATGATATATATATATATATGATATATCCTTGTTTAGTAAAATAAGTCATTTGATTGTTTTATTATAGAACGACCACTTGGAGGACATTGTTTGGACTTATAGGGTTGATCATGAATTTCTCGTCAATTATTTTAATTGTTCATTTGGTTAAGTACTTCATATATTTTATTTACATAAAAAATTTAGTCGATTCAATTATCGTAATCTATTCAATTTATCACATCTGTTACCAAAAAAATAAATGATTTATTAAAACAAAATTTATGATAAGCCTCACTAGTCCAAACAACATACCCCAATCCAGATTCTACACTAAAGAAAATCTGCCTCAAATATTATATATGATATATTCCCATTCCATAACATATTATTCCTTTTAATTCAGTTCAAAAAAATACTTATTCGATTTAATAATTCTAGATTTCATGCAAATTTAATCAAAATTTTATTAGGAAAGTAAAATGTAAGGTGTAAATCTAAAATTAATGTATTATGAGCTATATGCGAAATAAATCTGGTTTACATATTTTAATTCCTGATAAAATTTTAAGTAAATTTTTGAATATACAACATAATTGTATTCTACATATATGATCATAGTAATGATATACAATCAAAAAATATATATAAAAAATTAATACAAAATAATTTGACAAACTTTTGATTTTTCATTTTAAAACAAAACACTGAGGCGTCGTTTGGTAACACTTACGTTTTCAGTTTTCTATTTATATTTACAAAAATTTTAAAAACTCAAATAAAAACTTGTTTGGTAAAATTTTTGATTTATAAATCAGTGGTCTCAGTTTATAAATTTGGCCAAAAAATGAAAACACAAAAAATGTGTTTCCATTTTGAGTTTTCAGTTTTTTTTTTTTAAAACAGAGTTTTTACGGCTCCTCCCATATTAGGATTCAAATACATAGTTTTATCAGATAACCCATGGGGACATTCCATTGGTTATCGATCGAGTTGGATCCGATCTAATTTCCAGCAGTTTAAATACAAAGTGGTCGCCAACCATCTAGTGGTGTGGGTGAAAAACAGTCGTGACAAATGCATGATGGTACCTTTATTCCTTGGTTCAGGTGGTGAGGTAGGGTCAGATTGGCATGAGTATTATGTTCCAATCCAAATAAAAGATAAAAAAATGTTATATACCTTTCTTGTCTGTCTTGTCGAAGAAAATTGCAGTCAATGCTTTTTTGTTAAGGGTTTATATGGTTTTTTTTCTCTTAAATTTGTCCACTCAGGGTATTACCAATACAGTGGGGGCTGTACCAGGAATTGTAGGTGTTGCTCTCACCGGTTATCTTCTTGATTCAACTCATTCATGGAGTGTAAGTTCCCTCCTTATTCCCTCGTTTAAGTATCATTGTTTTGTCAAAGAATGCTACAGACACCGCATAAAACACCACCTACGCACAAGGTTGGTGGTGGCCACACCATCGGTGGCATGTCACTGGACTTGTGCCTACTTTGTTGGGTATCCATATTCTTACATTTCTTGCGACTTATTCACCCACCCACCCATCCGCCACCACCAGCTACCCACCACCCACCGTCACCACCAGCTACCCACCACCCACCGTCACCACTTTCCACCACCGTTTTCCGCCACCACTTGCAATTTCTCACTCTTTTTTATATATTTAAAATTTTTTTAACATTTTGTCAATTACCAAACGCGTTTGTAGTTTATGTTTTTCTAAAAATAAACAAAAAATAATAAAAAAAATCAATTTATAAAATTTTTGTAAATATAAACTGAAAACGTAAACGTTACCAAACACAACAAGATGATTTATATTTTTAAAAGGAAAATTCTATACATACATAAAATTTAGGGAAAATTATAAATACACCCTCTGAGATTTGATTAAAATACGAATCGCGGTTTAGAAATTACATTCTATCTCCTGAAGTTTCTAATTTCATAACAAATCGTCATTTTTATTAATAAATCATCAAGTCAATTAACAGTTTTTAATGATATTATAAATATGTTTCAATTAATAATTTAGGTAATTTTATTATTGTTTAGGAAAGTAATTATGAATTTCATTTTTGTAATTAATTCTATTAAATAAAAAATACTAACAATGAGCTACTTGTAATTTTTCAAATCACAGGGGACAATCTGTATTTTAAGCAAATCTCAGATGGTGTATTTGTAATTTATTCCAAATTTTATATAAAAAACTTCACAAGAATGATGTGGTAATTTCATTATTGTAAATAAACTTATCTTTAATGATATTTTGCTTTGAAATGAAAAATTCACAATAAACCATATCATTATGTATAAAAATTATGTATAAATTTTTCATTTGTATAACATTACTCCTTTTAAAATTGACGCGATCATATCATTCTTATGAAAAAGTAAATATCATTTTCTGCCTGTGTTTGGCAAGTGAGTTTGCAGGCTTTTTTGGCTATTTTAGCCACAAAAAATAAAATAGGCTATTTTAGCCATAACAAACAAAACATCACATCCAACCCATAATCATTACATTCTTCTCTCACAAAAAAACTCAAAAAAGACAAAAAGCCAAAAAGCCCTTCCCAAACCAAGCTTTTAAGCCCAAGCTAAAATAACCAAAAAAGCCAAAAAGCCAACCCACTTCCCAAACGGAGGCACATATGATAATCACAAGATTGATGACATGAAATAGATTTTGCAAAAATGTTAAAGATTCTAAAAGTTCTATTAATGTTTCTACTAAATGTCTCACATGAATGTGGGATCTATATGGAATCCACATGATGTAAGTTTCACACACACACATGAAATATTTGATAAAAATTTTAATAAAACTTTTAAAATCTCTAACATTGCTCATAGATTTGCCATTTGATGATTGATTGGCTTTAAATAGAAGTAAAGTCTCGTTTATTTTCAGAGGTAGAACGGGAGGATTGATAGTGAAAGGATTGTTAGTGAGGGGATTGATAGTGAGGAGATTAGTAAAATTGTGTTTGTTTTGATGATAGTTGTTAGTCTGAGAATTGTAAAATTGTGTTTGTCTCCCATTCGCTATCTATCTGAATTTAGACGGATTAAAAAAATTACATATTCGTTCACTCAGATTATTAAAATCGCACATTTTTATAGTGAATTGATTTGGACCATTAATTTTAGCAAATCAAATAGATACTTGAACAACCCTAATTGATTGGATTAGAAATCTCTGTCAAATCTGAATGCAAGAATCATACATAGAGGTCGGAATTTACATGTGGCCCAAAGAAGCCAAGGGTCATCCCAAAATGGCCCTGTTTGGTGTAACTGTTAAAACAGCTTATAGATTATAGCTTAACAGATTATAGATTATGACTTTAATCAGAAGTTGTTAAACTGTTTGGTGTAGCTGTTAGATTATAGATTTAAGTTGCTGAGTAGTGTTTGTTAAATAAGCTGTGAAATAGCTTTTTCAATTAATTTTTATTTTTTGTTTGTCTACATTTCTCATAAAAAATAATAATAATAATCTATAGTCCATTTGAGTCTTTTTCTGTTTTTAAAAAAATAAAAAATAAAAAATAAAAAAAATTAAGAGTATAACCACAAATTAACATGTCCACAACAGAAGTTGATAATCAGAAGTAAGGGGTGAGTAATCAGCTTTTTTGAGTTAAAATAAGCTGTTAGAATCAGAAGTTGTTGAAATAAGTTTAACCAAACAGTCCAAAATAACTTTTTCAAAGCTAAAAGCCATAAATTGGCTCTGAAAAGCTGAAACAAACACTCCCAATAAGCCTCGCTTCTAATGAAATGAGTTCATTATATGAACATGGCTCATCTTCACGAAAATCAAAGAAATTAGATTTCATAACAGGGGATTTACGAACCCATCTTATTGACGGAGCTTATTTATTTATAAATTTTTTTTGTACCTATTAATATTTTCAAAAAAATATTAGGCCAAAATAAACTTTTTAAAACTTTTTGATTCATTAATAAAGTGTGAAAGACTTACAGTATTTAAACCAATTATAAGCATCCAGGTAGGGCATAACATTCCCCATTTGTGGTATACCATTCACAACCAGTTGATTATTAAAAACTATAAAGTGTGAGAGAGAGTAGAACAACGAGGTTTGAGTCGACTCAGGCTGTCTCTCTCTCATCTCTGATCTCCATATCTCACCATCTACTCTTATTTTTTACATGTGTTCCGCAAAACTTTGCGCTTTCATTCAATGCTAGTCCTCTCTTTCTTTGATTATTATTAAAAAAAAATTAAAATTTTTTTCTTTGGTAGACCTTTGACTTAACCTCTTAATAGTCAGACCCAGATTCACCCATCCACTCTCCCTCAACCCAATGTTTTATTAAAGCATTCTCTCTCCCCTGTCTCTCTTTCTCTCTCTCTCAATCTTCTCTTTTAATTTTTTCTGCGTATGATTATTTACTTGTCTGTGTCTTTCCATTCAAGATCTTACCAAGCCCACCAATCAAACTCAACTCTTTCTCATATTTTTTGTAAATCTCTCATGGGCTCTATGCACAAACAACAACAAATCTACAACCATGAATCCCAATCTCTCCATCCAATCAAAAACGAACAAAACTTAGCCTATCAACCTTCCTTTCCTACTTCAGATCCTGGATTTCCCATATTAGCCATTGCAGTACTTTGTACAATTGTCACAGTTTTCTTACTAGTTAGCTACTACGTCTTTGTCACCAAATGCTGCTTAAACTGGCAACAATTCGACCCCCTCCGCCGCTTTTCCATGCCCCGACCGCCACAAAACGAAGACCCGTTAACGGCCTACTCTCCCTCATGGCAGAGCCATGGCCTCGATGACTTGTTGATCCGCGAAATCCCTACTTTCCAATACAGCAGAGGCGAAAATGGAGGAGAAAAAAGCTTGTGCAAGTGTGTGGTTTGCTTGAATGAGTTTCAAGAACTAGACATGGTCAGAGTTCTTCCCAATTGTGGTCATGCCTTTCACTTGGACTGCATTGATATATGGCTCCAAAGCAATGCCAACTGCCCTCTCTGCAGATCGAGCATTTCTGGCACAACACGATATCCGATTGACCAGCTTGTTGCACCAACATCTTCACCTCAAGATCCAAGGCCATTTGTAGATACTTTCAATGGTGGTGATGAAGCCTTTGTGGTAATTGAATTGGCCGGAGCTGATAGAACAGTAATGCAACCACGTAGACAATTAGTTCCAGAAAGAAATGACCCGAGGGAACAGTTAATGCTATCAAGGGTTCGCTTTCCGGGAAAATTTGAGCAGAAGCTCGGGAAGCAGGCGAAAGAAGGAAAGTTTCATCTTGTGTCGAGTATGGGTGATGAGTGCATTGATGTGAGGCAAAAAGACGATCGGTTCTGTATTGAACAACCCATCAGGAGATCTTTCTCGATGGATTCAGCAGCTGATCGGCATGTTTGCTTGGCTGTTCAAGAGATCAGACGACAGAACGAGAACGAACATCTTAGACACAGTGAGGCGTCTAGTAGTAGCAGAGTCCGCAGATCGTTCTTTTCATTTGGACATGGAAGGGGATCTAGAAGTGCAATTCTTCCTATTGAGTTCTAGTTGTAAATTAATCATAGGGTTCATGCTTAATTAATTACCACATTTCTTTCTGAATTATCTTTTGATTTTTGTTTGTGATTGAGATAGTGAAACTCTTACAAGGGAATTTCTAAATTTGTCATGAAAAAAAGAGTATGCTAGGTGAGTGTAAAGAGAATTTGTCATGATATTTAGATAGTAGTTAAGAGGAGTTGGTCTCTTGCTGAAATGTAGGCATGGGTGTCACAATAATTGCTTCAACCATTATGAGTAGATACAACTCTTGATTTCCTTCCTCTTCAAGAATGAAGATCATTGCGTTTTAACTTACTTTTTTTTTCTTTTCCCATAATGTTGTTTGGTCCAACGATAAAGCTTTCCATTAGGAGTGTAGGTTCGAGTCACGGAAATAACTTTTCCAGAAAAGAGAAATAAAATTGATTAAATTTTATCATTCTTAAACATCACTTTAATAAGAATCTCATGTACCAAGTCACCCTTTGAGAAAAAGAGAGGGGCAATGAACGAAGGCAAGGGTAGAGGGGCCCTTTTTTCTGAAAGAATTGAGTGTCCATGAGTGAAAATATTGAAGAGCTCTCCATTGGAAATGATCACCACCTTCTTTCGTGTCAAGGCAATAATAAAGTTGATGTTGGGTGAAGAATAGAATGAATGATTATGGTTAAGTGAATATGGCCTCATATCATCACAATTCAAGGTTGGCTATCTTTCAGCTGATGTGATGTTGGTTCATCTGCTTCTACAAGTTGACTAGTTGAACTACAGGATTTTTTTTTATTATTTTTGATAAATAAAATTTATTGCCACGAGCATCAAGAAGATGCCAAAAAATAAAAAAATAAAAAGAAAAACCATGAACAGAAAACACCAGACCAATCAACTCATCAACAAAATCCAAGAAAGCAAACAAATTCAAATCCACCCTTCCCAACACCCAATTTCTTAAGATTAAATTGATTTAAACTCATAAAACACTATTCTTTGTTTAACAATTTTTTTTTTTTAATAACCAGATATTGAAACTAACTTGCGCGCACTTCAATTAATTCTGAGACCATCCTAAAATTAATAACCGAACAAACTTTCAAAAATCCTTTAGAGTGACTTGAACTCGAGATATTAGATCTTATACTCAAATATTTACAAAGATGTGAAACACATTCTTTTCTTCCTCTTTTTTTTTTTGGGGGGGGGGGGCTCTTTTTTTTTGGGGGGGGGGGGGATTGGATTTTTGTTAATGTGAGCATATTTTTTAACAAGTTTAAATAATTGTACATGATATGCAATTATTTTAAATTTTACTAACTAATTAAACTTGTTAACAAAATCTTATATATCTACATATAAGTAGAATTTCAAGTTTCAACTAGATGGAACAGTCCGAGCAACAATATTGTGACATGTAAAGTTATCCTCACACCCGTAAAAGATCCAATACTGAGTTGTGTGAGTACATGGACAAATCAGAGCCTTCAATTTGCAATAATGCTGATATGTCACAACCTTATTGCTCGGATTGTTCTATTCAATTCAGTTGAAATCCGAATTAGAGACAAGCTAAGCTCATATAAGTAATGTTTAAACTCCACCTTTTTTAAACACATTCCCGCTTAATAAGAAATGGAGTAAAATTCACTATAACATAGACAAATGGTACCACTATTCAATAAAAAATTATCAACCTCACTCGCAGTATAAGCTCTTTAATAAATACACAATATAATAGAACCCTAGGTTTAACAGGAAAGATCAAAGATGTATTCATGTGTGTCAACAAAGAATCAAAAAAAAAAAATACAGCGTTAGTTTAGAAAAATTGCAAAACATGACTTCTAACTCCTGAAAGATTAGTAATAACCCAGACAATCTCTTCCCTCTGGGCATTATGATAATTGGGAAGCCACATGCTTGAAATACAACACAATTATAATAATAAGAGCCAATCATGCAAGATCACTTCCTACGTGCCTGATCTAATGGCATGTGGAAGTCCTCTGGGTCACTAAGATCTATCAGATGAGTTTAATCAAACCCATTGATGATGATGAGGTTTCTTGCTAGTGTTTCTCTGCATTGTCCTCATACAAAGCCCGTGAAACAAAACATCAAGTCTAACACTAATGCTTTATTTGGACTAGAATGAAATGGGCATTCCTTAAGCTTCATTATGGAATGATCATTCCCTTGCAATGGTAAATGATGATTCCATTTGCAATATATTTTTCATTATTTTTTTAATCAATCAAACATAAAAATGAATATTTGATAGAATAATCATTCCATTCTAATGAATTAAATACTACCCTAACCAAGCCATCAGTCAAGCTGCTTCTACTCTACCGAAGGCTTAGCCATGATTCTACTCTATGTTACTGCAACATGGGTCATTTCAATATATAGAATGAAAACATCGTATGCCACATACTCTAAAATGTGATACAACAGGACAAACTTGTCATATTATAAGAATTTAAAGTATTTCTAAAATAATTTTCTTTTAACAATTAAACATTTTGACTCGTTTTTTACGTTGTCCTATCAAAAGTGCACTTACCTTAAATTTTAGTTCACTATATTTGATTTTTTTTCCTCCTAAGAAAACATTTAAGGAAATATATCGACAGAAAAACTTTTGGAATCGTTTCGGATCACTAAGGGGTTGTTTGAGATAACCTAATAAGTACACACTTTTTATCTTTTTTTGGATCATATCACATCTCTATTTTTCTACACATTTTTTTGTAAAAAACCAAAAAGTGCAATTATTTAGATCATCACAAACCACCCCTAAATTTACTATTTTGGGGACAATAGTATGCCATGTTTTGGAACATGTGTTCCAAAACTTAATTTGCTAAGGTATTAGCATTTTCTAGTAACACTAATTGTCCGGAAGGCTTAGCCATGAGCAACATCCACGGCCCAACATCAAGTCACAAAAACTAGAAAAGGTTTACAGAATGGCGGCACATGGCATGAAAAATCTGTTCGTTGGACTTATATGACTTGCTACTAGTATTTATCAGCAAGAAATCAAGATGAAGCAATAACCATCGTTGTTTCAAGTAGAAACGCTCATGAGAGGAGAGGTATACAGCATTGTTCTTGATTCAGCATCAGTTTCCTTTCATACTACACTAAATTGTGCTGGATTGCCTCTCACTAATAGAAACACCAGGCTGACAGCTTCTTGTGGAGCCATGACTATTATGGGGCAAGGGCAAGGCCCTTACAGGAGGCTCATTTGATGATGCTCCTCGAGCTTCCTTCTTTAATTTTTCAAGAAGTCGGCGAGCTTCTTTGAGTTCGTCCTGTGCACTCGGACCATGGCCTTCCCAAGCATCAATTACCTGCTCCTGGAATTTAATTGCAAGAGGGTAGCTGCACAATCCAATAAATAAGGTTAAATTTTAAACAAAATAATCTTTTGCCCTATAAGTCTATAACTTAGAAGATCGGACAAAGTAAGCTGCAGCACTGCACTATTGATGCAGAGTATAAGAAGCTCAAAAAAGGCTAAGTTCAGAGAAGTGATGATACTTGGACATTGGCATGATTTTATAGAGAACCTAATAGAAATCTTCTATAATTATGTTTCTAACATTATTGGAGTCTTATTTTATTATTATTTTTATATTTTCTAGGATTTTTAAGATTATGGGTATTTTGGTAATTTTATATTTACTGACATGGGTTATATGGGTTGCCCATAGATCGTCTTATGGGTCAAGTTATTTAATTGAGTTTTATTTATGTTTTTTATTTGGTCTTAAATTAGCTTTGAAAGTTTAAGATATTATAGCAGTTTCCTTTTTTTGATTCTAGTTGGTTTAGAGATTTCTAAAGTCTATATAAAGCCATGTAATGCATCTAATTCAATAGAGTTGATATTTTATAAAAAATTAAAGAGCTTTGAAGCTTCTTTATGGATTGTGTGATGCAATCAAACCTTAGGTGTGATGCCTATGGAATCTAGGTGTGTGATACCTAGACCTATCTTCTTTTCCTCCTTTCTTCTTCTTTTATGTTTCAATTTGCTATTCTCGGATTACTATTTACAGCCCTCTAAAAGTGTATTTTTCAACCTCAAAACTCCATCTAATCACCCTCAAATCAACCATAATTCCTTCTCCTACCTATTAGCCTTCAATTTACTCTTGAAACCATAATTTACTCACTGTTCAGGCCATCAAATAACCTCTGTTTTGAAAATCCAGCGCTGTCCCTATTCTTCCTGCATCAACTATGCTCATGGACTTGAGAGGTCTAAAGATGAAGGATAAACAGGTGTCTGAGGGTTGCAGGGTGAGAGTGAAAACTAGGGAATATCATTGTTCAGTTGTTGCATTTTGTGCTGGCCATTGACATTGTAGCAGATGTTGAAAACCTCTTCAGTAAATTTAGCCCAATGCCAAAAGATGGACTTCGTTCACATGAAACAAAATGAAGATCCACTCTATGGCTATGAAATTTCCATGGTGCGTATACACACAGAGAGAATTAACTTTGGATAATATGTCCATACCAAGTAGAAGTGAGACAATTAACTTTGTGCAAATTATGTTAAAGGTAAGATCTGCATTCAATCTATCCATCACAGACCCCCCATCTAATGGGAATCAAACTGGATATACATCTTTTTGGTATTGATGTGTGCCTAAGTTTAAATGTTAAGTAGTAAGGAATGCAAGAGTTCAGATTCATTGAACTGTTTTGCTGAAGTGACAGATGTTTTTCATCAAAATAAGTAGCAGAAAGTCCTTTCCGATGTATCCAAAAAAAAAAAAAAGTAGCAGAAATAAGGCAATTTCAAGTAGCATAATAATATGTTGGAAGGCTTCAAGAAAACTTGTACAAACAATAGAGAAGGGAAAAAGAATAAAGTGTCCAACGATGCAAACTATGCTACAAATACTCTTCTAAAGTTGTGAAGTATCCATATTGGACACTCAACACTTTGAGCATGTTTGTTTGGTGGGATTGAAGGGTGGGATTAGACTAATAGTCCATTAGGACTAATAGTCTGTTGTTTGTATCAAATTTTTTGCACCGGACTATTAATCTCAAATTTGTTGGACTATTGTATTTCATGGGGGGGACACAAATCATGGGATAACTTATCCCATGAGATTAGGTTGCCAAATTACATTGTTGACTCTCTAGTATTAAATATCTTTTTCCTCATGATATTAATTATACTTAATAAAGTAGTCTCAATTTAAAAATAAAATAATTTTATTTAATTTTAATTGGTGTTTTATATATTTAAATTTTTAAAATAATTTTTTATAAATATTTTATTGACGTTTTATTTTAAAATTTTGTTGATATTTTATTTAATTTCATTATTTAAATTTTAATAGATGTTTTATTTAATTTCATTATTTAATTATTATTATTTTTTAAAAATAAATTTATTTAAAATTTTAATTAAAAAAATAGCATATATTTTTATTGATATTTTATTTATTTAATTTTAAAAAAAATTATTTAATTGTGTAAAAAATAAAATAAAATAAAACAAATTTTTATTTAATCTAACTAAAAATAATTAAAATATTAAAGATATGTTTAATATTGCTATTACTTAGTAAATAATTGAAAAGGGTAAAATAGCCATTTAAGCATTTATCCTTCTCTATAATATCCTAAACAAACATAGGATTTATATCCTATCCAACCAAATAGTCCTTTCCTGACATCTAATTCCATAACTAAACAAACATGGGATACATATCCTATCCAATCAAATAGTCTCAAGACTATGAATCCTAGGATTACAATCCGATAGATTCCAATCCCTCCTTATTCAGTCCGTCCAAACAAACATGCTGAAAGATGTGGGATATGTGTTTGACATGTCTAGTTGGGGATGCACCCAACAATTATGTATAAATAGTCAAGTTTACGAAATAACTACGGATAAATAAGATGTCCATTTTATGCATAACATGATCTATATTAGTTTGCAAATATCATTTTATCCTAGAAAAATGTACTCAAGAAACATGACATCTAGATGTGTCATTGTGTCCTTGGACATAAGAATTAGATGAATCTGACACTTTTGAAACATCCGCACTCAACACCCATGACCGAGTTCACGGAAGTTACTCATATGGAATCTGCAAATATGCAGTCCTCACATACTTGTATTACAGTTTAAAAAGAATTAACAATCATACGGCATTATTAGCTTCTATAAGGCGGGTTTGGTCCATATAAGAGCTAAATATTAGAATGAAAGCATAGTTAGTTTTGGCATGTCCAATGATTTAAACTTCAATGGATGACAATGTTTATGTATATGTAAAACCAGTGTCAGTTTCTAATGATATCCCATTATCACCTACTTGTTAAAATTCTCCTCTATTTTAGTAGTTTGCAAAGCTATACTTAAAACCAATAAATCAGTTAAGTGTATATTATGTAATGCAAAGATACCAGAAATTAAGTAAGGTAATCTTAGTTTCTTACCTCCCCATGGCACCATATGCTTTTGAAAGGTTCTGACATGACTCAATTGTATCCACATGACCAGGACCAAGGGACGCATCCATAATCTCCTTGGCTACTGCAAACATCTGTGCAGCTGACTGAGGCCTATCTAGTTCCAAATATGCCGCACCCAAGTTGTTATAAATATACCCAACCCCATAATGCTTGGAACCAAAGCACTCTTTCAGTCTCTCTGCTGCACTCTCCAAGTAGGGTATAGCCTCCTGCACCTTGCCTGTTAACAGAAGCAACCAGCCAATACGTGCAGAAACACTTCCTTCTGAGTGTTGCTCTTGAGGGAGCTTCTCAAGTATAGCTTGTGTTCTCTTTAGCAGCGCAATTGCAGTTTCAAACTCATTCATAGTCTCATATTGCATCGATATCTCCATGTATGCCTCAGAAACTTCTACTGGAGAGGTTGCTTCTTTCTTATCAAGAATCCCAGAAGCAATCTGTAGACACCTTTTTGAGTCAGCAAATTTCTCTTGATTACATAAAGCTTTCGCCATTGAAATGAAGACCATAGCTCGATCTTCGCTTTCTTTATTGGTCTGCTGAACAATGTCCTTCAAAGTATTGATGGCCTCCTCATACTTCCCCAATGCAATCTGAATGTTGGAGGCATCAATCTCTGCCCGAAGCAAATCAGAACTAAGACCCCAATTCTTCAGTACCTTCTGTGACAACTGATTCTGCTCCAGTGCCTTCTCATGCTCCTCCAACCCAGTATAGATAACCCCAAGAAGCCGCCTATCATGCGCAACTTCCACCGAATTATTCCCCAATTGTCCCTTATGTATCTCCAATGCTTTTAAACAAAATGGCAACGCCTCTTTAAAATTCAAAACAGCAACATAAGCCTCTGCCAAATCCCGATTAGCATTACCAATTTCCCTACTGTTTTTCTCCAAAGTCATTTTTTTTATGTCCAAACAATTCCTTAAATTACCAAGAGCCTCCTCTCTCCTTCCCATTGCAGTCTTGCTATTCGCCAATTCAAGCTGAACTGCATGAAGAATCGGTCTAATATCATCAAGACTACAAGAACCCTCTTCTTCTAACCTACCCAATACCCTATTAGCCCTATTAAGGTATCCTAAACTATCATTAAACCTTTTCAAGCTATGACAAGCAGAACCCAACAATTGTAAAGCCATGGCAAGAGGTAAAGACACCCTATTATCATCTCTATCCAAAGCTTTCAAAGCTCTATTAGCAAAAGAAAGAGTCTTTTCAGGGTCCTCACCTTCTTGGTCAAGTTTGAGGCCGAGTTTCAAGCAAGCCAATCCAAGTTCCCTCTCGTCAAAACTTGCTTCCATGTCCTTGAATGCTTTGAGCATATCTTCAGTGGTCTTGGCAGACTCAAAAGCCTCATCTAGCTGTGATCTCTCTTTAATCTTTCTTTGCCTTGAGGAGATTGGAGGTTGTTGGTCCACGAGGGTATTGAGATTGTGAGATGGGTGGATCTGAAATTGGTGGGTTTTGAACTTAGAGAAGAGTAAAGCATCGGATTTGGTGCAGGACTCGAGGTGGGTCTGGGATGGGAGGTGGTGGTGGTGGTAGTGGTGGTGTTGATTGGTGGTGGTGGTGGGGAGAGAAGAAAGGTGGGTGATGAAGTCTCTGGAGAGGAGAGAGAAAGAGAGTTTGGGATGTGGGGAGAGATGACAGAAGACTCTGGAAGAAGCTCTTCTCATGGCGGATGGAGAAAGAGAGAGAGAGAGAGAGAGAGAGGAATTGGTTTCGCTGCGACGGTGGTTAAACCCTTGTAGAAAAACCCTTTCACTGTTAGAGAGAGAGAGAGAGAGAGGGAATTCTTCTCTTTTTCTTTTGACAAATGCAACTATATAAAATTGGGAAATTTTAAATAAATAAATAAAAAGTAATGGGTAAAAAATATAAGGAGTATTTTTTTTAAGGTCCCTGATATTATGATTTTATAGTATAAAGGACATCAAATATTTTCATGATGTCTAAAGTCCCTCAACATCAATCCAGAGAAAATTAGTCCAGAGAAAATTCAAGTCGGAGAAAATTGGTACAGAGAAATTCTGGACTTTCTAGAGAAATTTCTCTAGACTTCCCTAAACTTCCCACTGTAAATTTCTCTGCCCTTTTTTTTTTTAACATAAGAATTTCCCTACCTGAACTCACTTCTTTGCTATACACTGCACCTGAGATGGTCTACAAGACAGCTAGAGCCATGGGGCTAAATTCCAACGTCAATGTGCCTTACAATCTGAGCTGATTTTTCCCCATTGATTCTAGTTTCTTCTACCTTGTTCGGTTGCATTTTTGCGAGGTGAATCGGTGGATGAAAAATGTAAACCAGAGGGTGTTTGACATATTCATCAACAATGAAACAGCCGAAGTTAAAGCTGATGTTATTGCTTGGAGCAACGGGTACGCAGTTCCAGTGTACCGAGACTATGTTGTTTTGGTTCCAAAAGTAAACAATGGGGAGAAGCAAGACCTGTGGCTAGAGCTACACCCAAACACGAAAACAAAATCTCACTATTATAACGTCATTTTAAATGGAGCTGAGATTTTCAAATTAAGCAACTATGATGGAAACCTTACTGGACCTAATCCCCCAAAAAAGATTGTGGCTAGTTTGCCATCAAAGAAACATAACCCAAAATCATCAAAGAAGATTACCTTGATTATGGTTGGATGCATTCTTGGCGGGCTGCTAGTTTTTCTTATTTTCTCTTTTCTCCTTTATATGAACAGACCAGTTGGTGGATGATCTAAGCAGCTAACATGCCGACAAAGCAATATCACCCTTCTCTCCAGAGATATTCAAATTTTCTCTGGCTGCATGGTTAGAAAAGAAGGTAACCTTAATCAATATTAAAGTTGCATCACAAGTTAGAACTGAAATTTATCTGCTTTGAACTGAAATTTCTCTGGGTTGGTCCAGAGAAATTCTTTGATTTTAGCTCAGCTTTAACATGATCTGGATCAGCAGTTGGTTGGTCAATTTTGTTTACGACTGGGATTATTGTCAGGTTAGATTCAAAAGCAAGATAAAAGTTATCAACAGTTCACTCCATTGAGTGAATAAACAACAATAGCAACATATATATATATATATATATAAATTAAAAGCTGGCCCCAAGCTCCAATGCAAAACCACACCAAGAGGACTTCGGGGTTTGAACCCATCTTCTCCAAGCTCTCCTTGTGAAATTTCTCTGGGTTTCTTCATAATTACTGCAGTCTCACTGGGCTTTACATTTCCAGCACTTATTGCATTGAAGTTAAATAAACAAGGACATGGCTTGAACGTGGTTGTAATGGATTGTTTCTTTGTTCTGTTGCGAGTTCATACTCTGGCCTCGGCTCATCTGATGAAAGAGTGGCCAGCTCTGGTATTTCATATTTTCACTTGTAGGTGCTGCTGCTGGAGATTCGGGGTGGTGGCTGCTGGGGCATGGGGTCTGTTGGGTTGATGCATGCGTAGTTTACACAGTCAAGGATTGATCGGACTCAATCGCTCGAATCGCCGCGATCAAATCCCCGGAGGATTCAGATCTAGCAGGTGATGGTCTCGTCATCTGCCATTGGAGAAGGAAAAGCAGGCCGGGTCTCGGATCCGGGCGGCGCGGAGGGAGGAGTCGGAGGAGAAGGTGTTGAGGAAGAGGTCGTAGAGGAGGGTGGAGAGGAGAAGAAGAGAGAGAGAGAGAGAGAGAGTAGAGTAGAGACAAAGAGTCAAATTTCTCTGATATATGTTTAGGGATCTTAGACATCAAAAAATAATTTTGTGGATTTATTCCATTACGAAAAGTAGGAGAGGAACCCTAGACTAATTTTCCCAAAATATAATTGTAAAATTATGAAGTTACAAGTTTTATTTGTACAATTTAATATATGAATTATTTGTACATTTATTCTTTTGTAAATATTTTTCATACTTTCCATTTTTTTCATATTCCCCCTATAAAATTTATAAAATTCTTCTTCTTCCATGACAAATTATAGTGGCATTACAAATATTTTTAAAAATTAATTATATATGAATGGTAAATTTTATTTATTTGTACATTTATTCTTTTGCAATTATTTTTCATACTTTCCATTTTTTTCATATTCCCCCTATAAAATTTATAAAATTCTTCTTCTTCCGTGACAAATTATAGGGAAATTACAATGTATTTTAAAAAAAGAATTATATATGAATGGTAAATTTTATTAATATTATAAAATTTTGAATGAATCTATAATTAATTTTTAAAAAATATATAGAATGAAATTTTTTTCAAAAATAATCAGATTAATTTGTAATATGATCACGTCACTTTGACAGTCAATAATTATTATACAAGTGTTATAAGCAAAGCAACAATTAATATTTTGGTAGAAAATTTTAAATATTACTTCTAAATTTACTGCTAATCACATGGATATTGTATATTAGTTTTTAATTTGTTTAAAATTAATCAATTAAAAATCCACTCTCTTACCTTGATAAATTTACGGGGATGATGTTTTAAGAATGGGAAAATAAAAATAAAAAATAAAATCTCGTTAAGAATTTATAATTTTATTGTAATATAAGACTCATGAAACAAAATAAACTTATTTCACATTAAATTCATAATTAAAATTCTATTTAATCTTTAAACTCAATAAAAAATAATATTTTATACATGTATACGTACATTGAGTTTAATAACTAAAATATTATATTTTGATCGGTTTTACTTAATAAAAATAGAATAGTGATTTAAATTGGAAATAAATTAAAATTTAGAATTTAGATTAACAAAATTATAAACTCAAATTTTATTTTGTTATAATGGTCAAACTCTATAATTTTTAATTATTATTTATTCTTTAAAAATGTATAGCTTTATTGTAATTTAGTATTTGAAATGAAAATAATAATATAAAGGGGGTTTTTTGTTTAAGATATGTAGTAATATTTTTTTAAAATGATAAGGACAACACAATTTCTTATATTAGTAAAAATACCCCACTATACCACTTCAGATAACGCTTATTATTTTATTTTTTTTAACTCATTCGATTTGAAAATTTTATAACTTTTGATCTAAATCACTATTTTTTATAAAATTTATATTTTTGAATTGTTTCATCAAAATCTGTAAAATAAGATTTATGCTGAATACAAAATTAAAAAAAAAAACAAAAAAATTGATTTAGGTCAGTGAAATTTCGATGATTATGTCAATGAAATTTCATGATTTTTTTTTTCTTCAAAATTTCATATTACTCATGGATTTTGCTTGAAAAATCTTGTCAATAAGATTCTAAAAATATAAATTTTACAAAAAAATAGAGATGTAAATAAAAAATTATTAAAATTTAAAATTTCAAAATCACTTAAACAATGTAAAAAGTGAGAAAAACGGTGTTATGAAAAATATAACAACAAAGATTAGGGTTTTTAAGATTATGAAAGCATTTTGAATTATACAGGTTAAAGTTTGTCTTACTACTTCAAATCTCAGTGACTTTAACTAGAATGAAAATTGATAGTGTCCTTAAATTCTAACGTAAATTTGTAGAGTGATGTCTCCCTAATTTCCTCTAATATAAAATGAAATACATTTGTGAATAAAAAAAAATGCTACATCCTCCTAATTTATCGGATTTTGTTTGGGTGCTGTGACAGCATCCATGCTATCACGTTCCGTGTAGTTTATTCAGATAATATTTTGATGATTCAAGCCATTTATGTTATAGGATTCATTAAGTATATCATTCATATAAAAAATAAATTTAATCGGACAAGTACAACTTCATGATCAAACTGAATAATAACGTTAAAAAATTGTTAAAATCATGTTAATCGTTTATTATTTCTAAACATATATGTGGTCATGTTGTGGGTAACAAATGTCTAATTGAGTTGAATTTTGTCATAGATGACCTTCTCAACAAACCATACACTATGAATTATTCAAATTATTAAAAAAAATTTGAAACACATCTTGGAAGACTCACAACACGATATTGTGCTTAGAAGGGATAGCATCTATCCCAAATCCTAATTTATCACCTCTAAATGAGGTGAATTATACGAACTAAAAAAATTATAATCAGGGTGCAAAAATATAATAACCATTTTTTATTATTTGATCAAAGAGAAAGAAAAAAAAATTATCCCCTTGTTTCTTTTTGGAAAAATTTCATTACATTGTAAGTTTAAAAAAGTAACCTCATATTAATGATAAATTATATAAACGTTAAACCATAAAATCATAATTTTTTGAAAAAATTATACACAAATTCAAAGTTGGACTCTTATAACAAAATAAAGGGGAATTATTTTTAAGATCCATAATATTAAAATTTTATAAGATAAATGACATACAATATTTCCATACTAGTTAATGTCCCTCAACATTTTTACAGAGAAAATTCGATTTAGAGAAATTTTATCCGACGCAAAGAAATTTTTCCTTAACTTAGATAAATTTCAATTTTTACAGAGAAATTTCTCTGATTTCATAGGGAAATTTCTCTATGATTATATTAGAGAAATTTCATAATTTTTCTGAGTCGGGGCCAAAATTTATTTGAGTCGGGTGGAATTCTCTGAGTTGGTCAAAATTTCTCTAAGACAGGCAAAATTCTCTGAGTCGAATTTTCTCTGTGATAATATTGAGGGACCTTAGCTGATAAAAAAATATATATTGGACCTCTCCTATTACACAAGTTGGAAGAGGGATGTTTCACTAATTTTCTCAAATAAATTCTAAATTTTTAAACTTTATTAATTTAAATTATAATTTTTTAAATTTATTTTCAATATAAATTATTTGTTTATTTCCATTAAGTAA